GGACAAAATGTTGTTGTGACTCAATCAGCAGCCAAATCAGTGCAGCTTGGTCAGACGGTCACTATTGACTGTAAGGCCAGTCGGGCACTTTCAACATCTGAGTGTAGCTACTCTTCAAGAGTCTGCCTGTCCTGGTACCACCAGAAACCTGGAGAAGCTCCTAAAGCTTTGATATATGGAACATCATCCAGATTTTCAGGAATCTCCTCCAGATTCAGTGGAAGTGGAGCAGGAAATGGATTAGACTTCACTCTGACCATCAGTGGAGTTCAGGCTGAAGATGCAGGAGTTTATTACTGTCAGAGTGCTCATGTCATCAACAGTCAGTGGGTGTTCACACAGTGAAAAATCATCGTACAATAACCTCCCTCAGTTTGACTGAACAGAAACTGAACTTTGTTCTGCAGCAAACACTGATAACGTTCACTGAACACAAACACGCTGAAAACACACTTTATAGATCAGATATGTAGTAAACAGAAGAACGGAAGCAGCAGCAGGGAAATTCTTGCTACTACTCATTTGAAACATTAAGTTTTGAATTATTTTCAATCATTTTTTACATCTATGATCTAAGATGTAATAAATAAAATTTAAAAACAAATGTTTTCATTTGTAGAAAACATTCAATGACCAGAATGAAATGAGATATTTTGGGCAATTAATCAAATGGAAGCACATCATCATTTCAGATCACATGAATTAGGAAAGTTCTGGTATTTAAGGGCTGTAAAGAAAACACCATGAAGACAGAAAATATTAGATTTTGATCCACATTATCAGCAGTGTTCCAGCTGGGAGGAGGAAAACTGCTGAGTCCAGTTGAAGTAACTTTGACTTTTGAAAAGTTACGAAACATTTTCCATGTTTTTACTTTAAACAACATGACATGAGATCAAAGAAAACTGGCAATAACACCAACATGTATTTTAATCATTGTTAAACAATTAACCAGATTTATTCTCATAGCCACATGAGGGAAAAACAGGAAAAATAAATTTCATCAGAATCTTCATTGTTGTGTTAGCCCTGGTTAAAATAACTTAGTAAGTTTGACACAGGAAAATATGGCAAACTTAGTAAATTACAAAGATGTAATCAGGAAAATATTGGAAAAAATTCATTCATTAATGCTTGATTCTGGATTTATTGTAATAAGGGTCAATTCTTATTACTTCTCATCTGACACACAGTTTTGAAGAATCATTTTTAATCATTTTTACGTCTATGATCTGAAAAGACTTAAAGCAGAACACATTTTATAAATGACCTCAATGAAATTAGGTTTTCTTTTGTGCAGTCAAATGGAATCACATCAACTATTCATATCACAGAAATTAAGAAGGTTCTGATATTTAAGAGTTATAAATGTGACAACACACTTGATATTGTTTTTTCAGTTATAAATGTTATCAAGTAGATCAAGTAGATCTGCAGATTAATGACCTCACAGCAGAATTTCTTTAAAATAAATTGTTACTCTCTTTAACTGATACTACAAGTTACTGCTACCTGAAAAACTGATATATAACTTTAATGACACATATTAGCAAAATATAATGTGGTTATAATGAGAGACACTTAGATATTTCTTGACATTATCATCAGTGAGGAGGAAACCTGCAGCCAGCTGAGCTCCAGCTGACTGACTCTGTGTGTTTGCATATGTGTCCTGCCTCTCTGCTCCAGCTGTTAAGAGGTCAGAGTTGATCCGTGGCTATCCAGGACTTTCAGAGCCACTGACACACCAGCAGCACAATGATGATGTCACTGACTCTACTGCTGACCATCCTGGGGCTCCTGGTTCAGGGTGAGACTCTGATAGGAACTTGGTTTGAGGAAGAACGATAATTAAAATTCTGCTGTCATGGAGAAATATTGAAACAAGATGTTAATGTTTTCTTTTATCTATTCACAGATTATCAATAATTTGTAATCAAACATAATTTTTCTAAATGGATGTTTTTCATGTTTTCCAGGTTCATCAGGAGACATCATCCTGACTCAGACTCCTGGATCTCAGTCTGTTGCTCCAGGACAAACTGTCTCCATCAGATGTAAAACCAGTTCAAGTGTTTATAGCAACCTCCACTGGTACCTTCAGAAACCAGCAGAAGCTCCTAAACTCCTGATCTATGCAGCTACAACTCGTCAGTCTGGAGTTCCAGCTCGTTTCAGTGGAAGTGGATCTGGTTCTGATTTCACTCTGACCATCAGTGGAGTTCAGGCTGAAGATTCAGGAGTTTATTACTGTCAGCAGGGTTACAGCTTCCCGTTCACACAGTGATAGAACGTCGTACAAAAACCTCCCTCAGCTGGAGAGGAACTGATCCGACTCAACAGATGGAATGAAACAAAAACACTGAACGTTTCCACAAATTATTTATTTATTTTATTAATTTTCTATTTTTGTGTACATTTTTTTTATTCACTTAGTCTTTTTTCTGATAATATATTTATATAATTTTATGTTGGATATATATTTGGATCTGAGACAAGAAATAGTGACAATAATAATAATAATAATAATAATAATAATAATACACCTACAGAGAAGTAATTCAGTGATATTTGTCATTTGGTTAGAACAATTAAAGAAACAAAAAAAGCACAAAAAGTATGTGTAGTTTAAACAATATGTATTTTGAAATGTTTTATTTTTCCTAATAATTTTCTCTTGCAAGCAGCAAATTCCGATAAACCTCTGACTTCTGATGATAGTAGTTCCTAAATATTTTTTCATAGATTTAAAACTATCTTGCAAATATGTCTGAAATTTTAATGAGGATTTTGCATGCAGGGCATTTAATTGTCCTCTTGTGATGGATTGAGATGATGTCTAAAGAGAATAAAAGGCAAAACATAAATAAGTATAACAGTAGAACATAACTAAAATATTTAAAACTCAATAAAAAGCAGATGGACACCAGAAGTTGATGAGTAAATATTTATTATCTGACCAGTGACCAACATGACAAAGCAAACATGACTCAGTGAAAATAGAGAAGAATCAGCAGAGAAAGAGTGAGAGCAGTGACAGATTAAAGCCAGTATCAGAGTCTCAGAGAGTCAGGTCAGGACTGGGAGCACTGGTCTCTCCTCAGTGTCTCTGTGACTGCAGACTGGGAGCCCTGGGAGGCCTCACAGGTCACTGAGCCAAGAATATAGTTATTTTTTTCTCCTCTCTTAATTTTACTTTATATTATTTTATTTTATAATACGTTTTTTAAAATGCAGATTGTCCTTTTCAGATCCAATATCTCATTTATTAAATTGACCGAGTTTGAAATGAAAAGTACAATTTACAAACACAGCAACAATACAAGTNAATCAGCAGCCAAATCAGTGCAGCTTGGTCAGACGGTCACTATTGACTGTAAGGCCAGTAGACAAGTAGCTCACTATTATGGTTCACAGTACTACCTGTCCTGGTACCACCAGAAACCTGGAGAAGCTCCTAAAGCTCTGATCTACAGAACATCATCCAGATTTTCAGGAATCTCCTCCAGATTCAGTGGAAGTGGCACCGGGAATGACAGAGACTTCACTCTGACCATCAGTGGAGTTCAGGCTGAAGATGCAGGAGTTTATTACTGTCAGAGTTATCATAGTGGTGATGTGTTCACACAGTGAAAAATCATCGTACAAAAACCTCCCTCAGTCTGAACAGAAACTGAACTTTGTTCTGCAGCAAACACTGATACAGTTCACTGACCACATCAGGCCAGAAATGATCTCCATTAAACACAAGAACACAATCAGTGATGATATTCAGTTATTGTATTTTAAAATATTACTTCCTAATTATTTTAGATGCTTGACTTTTATTCTCTGATTAAGAAGCCTGAAGTAACTTTGACTTTAAAAAGGTTTCAAAATATTTTCCACATTTTCCTTTTAAACAATCTGAGATGAAGTCAAAGATTAATTATCATTAAACACTTTACAGGATTTATTCTCATAAAAAAGGCCAGGAGATACTTTATTGTTAGGTTAGTCTTGTTTAAAATAATTTGCTAAGTTTGCCATTACTACTGGAAAATAATTCATATCCTAATTAAAATTATTGCTAGATCCTGGATTTATGTTCTAGAGCCTGGACTACAATACTGCCAGATGACTAGAACCAACAATGTTTGAATACTTGGTTTTAAAATTACTGCCAGATATTTTCCACAGACAGAAATACAAGCTGAGATGTGGTGTCAAGTCTCTTTCTGTGAATGAACAAATAGAGACATAAACAGTTGTCAGGCATGGATGAAAGAAAAATATGAAAATACTTTCTCTGAATTATTAAATGACAAGAAGAATGTGACATTAGTGAGGTCAGCCAGCAAGAAAATTAAAGCAAAAATTTGGTTTGTTTGCTAATTGAATGGTTTTAAAAAAGATGCCAGCTTAATGTAATTGTTTCTTTTGAATAAATGAAGTTATAAATTAATATTTGAGAAGTGGGAACAACAAACCCCTTTGGAAATAGTTTGAATAGGATAAACAAGATGTTCAAGCAAAAAGATTGTTTTGCTTATTCACAGCGAAAAGTTCACAAAGATCTAAAAGTGCTAAACGTTCAGAGAATTCCTTCAGTTTTAACTGTACAAGATTATAAAGAGTTCGTCTCAGTCTTTCTGATCATATTGATGTTTCAGGAGGAAACCTGCAGCCAGCTGAGCTCCAGCTGACTGACTCTGTGTGTTTGCATATGTGTCCTGCCTCTCTGCTCCAGCTGTTAAGAGGTCAGAGTTGATCCGTGGCTGTCCAGGCCTTTCAGAGCCACTGACACACCAGCAGCACAATGATGATGTCACTGACTCTACTGCTGACCATCCTGGGGCTCCTGGTTCAGGGTGAGACTCTGATAGGAACTTGGTTTGAGGAAGAACGATAATTAAAATTCTGCTGTCATGGAGAAATATTGAAACA